GAAGGAAGGAGATGAAGGAAAGGAGATGAGGGAGGGAGGGAAGGAAGGAAGGAGATGAAGGAAGGAGATGAGGGAGGGAGGAAGGAGATGAGGGAGGGAAGGAAAGAAGGAGATGAGGGAGGGAAGGAAAGAAGGAGATGAAGGAAGGAAGGAAGCAAGGAACGAAGGAAGGAGATGAGGAATGAAGGAAGGAGATGAGGAACGAAGGAAGGAGATGAGAGAGGAAGGGAAGGAAGGAAGGAAGGAAGGAAGGAAGGAAGGAAGGAAGGAAGGAAGGAAGAGGAAGAGAATGGCTTGAGTTGTTAGTTGGCTTTCCAGTTAAAATAGCTTGGAATCCCACATATGATCCCACATGTGTTTTGCCCCTGCTCACTTGTAAGCTAGATTGTTATTGTTATTACCCAGCCTCTATAAAGTTTACCTTCCAATGCATGCCAAAGAAAGTGACTTGATCACCACCTTCCTGGCAGATCAGTGATCTTGTTGCTTCCCTCCTGCTGAATCCAGCTTTTCTCCTGTGGCTAAGGGGAGAAGCCCCCTCTTCTGCCCCCCCCCAAGTATGAAGGTGAAAATATGGGTTTCCTGAATCTTGAGTAAACCTGTGTGAGATTTTTGTGCCTTTGGCAAGGACAGCCCCCTGGCAGTTATCCCACAATTTCTGCCATGATGGAAAAAGCCTTTTTTCTACCTTGCTGCTAAATCTTGTTACAAAATAGGGATAAATCCAGTTTTCTTCTAAATAAATCTTGTTTCACCTTCCTGGTCCCCTTCCTGCCCTGGATGCCACAATTCGTAGAAGTGTCCCCAAACTGAGTTATTAATCCAATCCAAACCGAGTGTTACAGTCATAAGGAGCAACAAGATCACTAACATATTTGAGACGTCATATCCTAGTAGAGATTGCTGATACATGGAAATAGTATAGGAATTGAATCAAACAAACTTTATCAAAAGTCCACTTACAGTTTATCTTGTGCTAAATTATAGTTGTCCAGCAAAGTTGAAACTTTCTTGAAAAGACAGGGAAGAATTTTGGATTGAAAAAAAGCTGAGATGAGGCTCCTAAAATTAAGCAGCTGGTTGAGATGAGTTATAAATGCTATAAACAAATATTCAGATTGAAAGATTCTCTTGAAAATACAGTTGGGTCAGCAAACGGCCCTGTGTCTAGGTTCCAATATTTAGCTTACTAATACATGTTAAACTCCTTTCTCTCTATCTCATTTTTCTAGCCATTGATAAAATGTATCCCATGTTCTAAAATATTCTGAATCTTCTTTCTCTTTCATTTTCAGTGTCAGTCTGTCCATTTCTGCACACTCTAAAATTTTCTTGATTATCTTTTCCTCTGCTGGTAAATCTTTGTCTTTCCAATGTTGAGCAAATAAAATTCTCGCTGCCGTTAGTACATGTAACGTTAAATATACACATTCTTTCTCATAATTTCCTGCAACTATACCTAACAGAAATAATTCTGGCTTAAAATCTACTTGTTTTTTAGTCATTTTCTCTAACCATACATGTATTCTTGACCAAATCATTTAGCCTTAGGGCATGTCCACCAAAGATGATAATATGTGCCTGGTTTTTGTCTACATTTCCAACAATTGCTAGACATATTTTTAAACATTTTTGCTAACCTCACAGGTGGTAAGTGCCATCTGTAAAACATTTTATATAGGTTTTCTTTGTAAGCCTTTGTTATTTTAGAATTTCTTTCCCAAAGTCTTTGCCAGTTTTCTAGCTCTTATGTTATGTCCAAAGTTTTTTGCCCATGTTATTGTTTCTTTAACTTGTTCCTCTTCCATCTTTAAACTTAGCATGTACTTATACAGTTTCTCAATCAATTTTTCATCTGATGCCAAGAGTATCTGGTCAAATTCTGCCTGTTCTTTATAGAATCCAGATGTTTTAGCATCTTTTTCATATCTCATTTCAATTTGCAGGTATGGCCACCATGATAGATCGATGCCCTGTTCTTCTAGTTCTTGTCTAGATTTTACTTTTCCTTCAATATTCAAAATGTCTTTATAAGTCACAATTTGCTCATAGTTAATTAGGGACGGGTGAACAAACGCTTCCATTGTTGAAAGCCATCCAGGTGTTTTCATGCAAATTTTCGCTTTTTCCTTGTCCCATTCTAAAAGACTCATATTTGTGATGGTTGCAGTATCCCCTTTTGCTGACAAGCAAAGTCAATGGGGAAGCCAGATTCACTTAACAACTTAACTGCAGTGATTCACTTAACTGTGGCAAGGAAGGTCGTAAAATGGAGCAAAAGTCCCTTGACAACTTGTCTCACTCAGCAAGAAAAAAATTGGGGTTCAGTTGTGCTCATAAGTCAAGGAATACCTCTATATTTTTTACTTGCACCAGACTTAATCAAAGAAATTTGGATTCTTCCTATGCTTTCTCATCGTCTGTTATGTTTTGGAAACGAGCTACAATTCTTCTCTTAATTTGCAGCTGACCACGGACTCGCTCGCTTAGTGACTGCCTATCATGAACATGGGCACAAAGCTGCCAAAATCAATCCACTCTTTGCTGGCCAGGCTGTGATGGACGCGGTGCCAGAAATTCAGGTTTTGACGGAAACCTTACAAGGCCCTTTCAATACAACAGGTAACGTCAAACAATCCTCGTGGGTGTCCTTTTACAGTTGTATCCAACTCGTCAACTCAGAAGTAGCATTTGCTGCAGTGGTGGAAGATCGTAGAAGGCAGATGTTAAGCAGAGCGGGCCCTGAATGTACCTGGATGAAGTTCACCAGGAAACCCTAAAGCTGGAAACTAGACTGGGAATTTTAAAAAGAAAAAAAAAACATCCCGAAACAGAGTAATGGCAAACTGTATTCCGTATTGTATATTATTCCATTTACATCCCATCTTTGTTACTGTTTTGTAAACAACTTCAGGTGGTGAATATATCCCAAACATCTTCCTCCTAATTTCCCTATAACAGCATCCCTGTGAGGTGGGTTAGGGGAGGGCCTTCTCGGTTGGAGCCCCCTCCCTATGGAACGAATTACCCCCAGAGATCCGGGTCATTACGGATCTCCCCTCCTTCCGCTGCGCCCTCAAGACATGGCTATTCCAGCTAGTGGGACTGGCCTAAGGAATATTTTAATTTGATTTTAATTTGATTTTAATTTGGTTTTTAACATAATTTTAAAAAGAAACGGCAAAAAAATCAATATTTCATTTTAATTGTATTTTAAACTTAGTATTTTATATGGTTTGTCTGTTTTTTAACTTGCTGTAAGCCGCCCTGAGTCCGCTAGGAGAAGGGCGGGGTATAAATTGAATAAAACTAAACTAAACTAAACTAAACTAAAAGAGTATGACTGGCCCAAAGTCACCCAGCTGGCTTTCATGGCTACGGCAGGACTAGAACTCGCCGTCTCCTGGTGATTGGCCCAAAGTCACCCAGACAGTTTTTATGCCTAAGGCAGGACTAGAATTCACTGTCTCCTGGTGATTGGCCCAAAGTCACCCAGCCAACTTTCATGCCTAAAGCAGGACTAGAACTCACCCTCTCCTGGTGATTGGCCCAAAGTCACCCAGCCAATTTTCATGCCTAAAGCAGGACTAGAACTCACCCTCTCCTGGTGATTGGCCCAAAGTCACCCAGACACTTTTTATGTCTAAGGCAGGACTAGAATTCACTGTCTCCTGGTGATTGACCCAAAGTCACCCAGCCAACTTTCATGTCTAAAGCAGGACTAGAACTCACCCTCTCCCGGTGATTGGCCCAAAGTCACCCAGACAGTTTTTATGCCTAAGGCGGGACTAGAACTCTCCCTCTCCTGGTGATTGCCCCAAAGCCATCCAGCTGGCTTTCATGCCAAAGGGGAACTAGAACTCACGGTCTCCTAGTTTCCAGCTTGGTGCCTTGACCACTAGCACAAATTGGCTCTCTTAGGCTGCCATAAATAGGCCTATAAACTCCACAAGAGTCAAACTCAGCTGAAAATTTTGCAAGGAGAACATTTGCGTCATTGTTGGAATCTTGGATGGTTACTGGCCAGAGATGACCCTGTTATGCCATTCTTTCCACTTCAGGGCTTTTGAACATGGGAAAGGATGAAGCTTCTCTTGAAGATGTCCTGTCTTATTTGGGGCACATCTTCTGCGGACATATCTCCATAGAGACCAGCCAGCTATCAAGCATGCAAGAAAAGGAATGGATTGCTAAACGGTTTGAGGAGCTGAAGCAAGAAGCTTTTACTACCGAAGAGAAAAAGTATTTGTCCAAGCTCATGCTAGAATCTCAGGTGCATTGTAAATGTCTGCACACGCATGCAAGAAAATAATGTTCTTGATCCCCTTTTGCGACCTTCAGTAAAGTTAATGGGGGGGATCCAAATTCACTTAACAACCGGGTTGCTGATTTAGCAACTGCAGGGATTCACTTGGCAAGGAAAGTCGTAAAGTGGGGCAAAACTCACTTAACAAATGTCTCCCTTAGCAACATAAATCTTGGGCTTAATTGTAGCTGTAAGTCGAGCATTCCTTATTGGCTAATAGAGACACTAATGTGTTTTCCAGGGACTTTATTGCGTTGATTTGAAGCCTTACTGGAAAGAAAAAAAATATCTGTCAGGGTAATAATTTAATAGCTAAATAGCTTATGTAACGATGTAATGGAATATAAGGTGGATGATGCAATGATAGGAATGACTCAGCAGGGTCTGTGTCTATTTAAGAGCCTGAGTATAAAAGGGAAGGCTTTTGCTGGAGTGTCTCTCTCTCTCGTCCGTTTCCTGCTGTAACTGCTGTGTGTTGGAGTTTGCTGTATTACCACATGTATGTATATTGTTCCTGGTGTATGATATTGTAGATAATGTAAGATAAACCACCATTTAATATAGACCACTGTTTACTGTGTTTACTCCTGGGTTATCTCAGCGCAATAAGACTGTGCATGCTCTGACAATATCCATTACTCAAATTGTACAGTTGAGCGTAGGAAGAAAACAAACATGTATATCTTGGTTTTTTGTAGAACAAAATAAATAGTCCGTGCTGATCTAAGCCTTGTTATAGAAATGCAGAAGATAAGCCGAAAAAGTTTGTTTGAGATTCAAATTAGCCCACTGTGTATTCATTTGGTGACGTGAGTGAACAGCGTACAAAGTCCGGTGAATAAATATCTCCATAATGAGGAGGAACTGAGGACGTTGGTCTGAAAAAACACCTGATTTCCACCGAGCATATTAAGGCTGACTGTCCTAGGGATAATATTTGTTATCTGTAACCAGGCTAGTATAAATGTGAGACATCATGTAATTGTATAGGATTAGACTTAAAGAGGGAGGGAAAGAGACTTACAGTAACTAAGACTATTCAGTCAAGCTATTTTTATTGTTTTATTCTCAAATCGACAGCTGACAAGCTGTACGTATTCATTTTCAGCAGTGAACACAGGTGGTCCTCAACTTATGACCGCAATTGAGCCCACAATTTCTGTTGCTAAGCGAGACATGTTTTTAAGTGAATTTTGCCTCACTTTATGACCTTTGTTGCCACAGCTGTGAAGTGAATCACTGCAGTTGTAGTAACACGGTTGTTAAGTGAGTCTGTCCTAATTGATTTTGCTGGTCATAAGTTCGCAAAAAGCGATCACCTGACCCCGGGACATTGCAACCATCATAAATATGAGTCAATTGCCAAGCATCATGAGTTTTGATCACGTGACCATGGGGAGGGGATGCTGCAACGGCCGTAAGTGTGAAAAACGGTCATAAGTCCCTTTTTTCAGTGCTGTTGTAACTCTAAACCAGGGGTCTTCAAACTTGGCTCTTTTATGATTTGTGGACTTCAACTCCCAGAATTCCTCAGTCAGGTACGCTGGCTAAGGAATTCTGGGAGTTGAAGTCCACAAGTCATAAAAGGGCCACGTTTGAAGACCCCTGCTCTAAACGGTCACTAAATGAACTTTCGTAAGTCGAGGACTACCTGTATTAAAAGCTCGGGTAAGTAACAAAGCAAATTGAATCCACAACTCCAACGTTTTACGTTCCACAGGAATTTGATCGCTTCTTAGCCACCAAGTTTGCCACGGTGAAACGCTATGGTGGCGAAGGTGCGGAGAGCATGATGGGATTCTTCCATGAATTATTGAAGATGTGCTCGTATAGCGGGGTGACGGACATCGTCCTTGGGATGCCTCATCGTGGAAGACTTAATCTTCTCACAGGTCTTCTTCACTTTCCCCCTGAGGTAAGGAAAGGAACGGGTTTTTAAACAATTTCCTCCAGGCTGGCTAAGTTTGAGGTGGAACGACAAAAGTTTCATGAATGTTTTGTGTTGGTGACCTTGGGAGCTGATCTGGGCTCTCCAGAACTCATCTTAGAAATATGTCGATGCAGATTCTCTGTCATCCACGTAAAGTTGTCTGAAGATTTGAGTCACGGCAACTGCATGTATTTTTCTTGCTTGAGACGTTTTGCTGCCCATCCAAGCACCTCTGACTGATGGAGCTGCTTAGATGAGCAGCGAAACGACAGAATCAAGATCTCGTGAAGTATTAATGCCGCTTTATAATGCCTTAGTACTGGGGTAGGCAACCTTGGCTCTTTTATGACTCGTGGACTTCAACTCCCAGAATTCCTGAGCCAGCCATGCTGAGGGAAAGGGAGAGGTTTCTAAGCTGAGCCATGCTGGCTCAGGAATTCTGGGAGTTGAAGTCCACGAGTCATAAAAGAGCCAAGGTTGCCTATCCCTGCCTTATTGCATCTACCTTTGGTCGCCATGATGTAAAAACAGATGTTGAGATTCTGGAAAGAGTGCAGAGAAGAGCAACAAAAATGATTAGGGGGCCAGAGGCTGAACCAGGGGTCTTCAAACCTGGCCCTTTTATGACTTGTGGACTTCAACTCCCAGGATTCCTCAGCTAGGGATGCTGGCTGAGGAATTCTGGGAGTTGAAGTCCACAAGTCATAAAGGGCCAAGTTTGAAGACCCCTGGGCTAAAACATATGAAGAACGGTTGAAGGAATTGGGTATGTCTAGTTTAATGAAAAGAAGGACTAGAAGTGACGTGATAGCAGTGTTCCAGTATTTGAGGGGCTGCCACAAGGAAGAGGGGATCAATTTATTTTCCAAAGCACCTGAAGGTAGGACAAGAAACTAATCAAGGAGAGAAGCAACCTAGAACTAAGGAGAAATTTCCTGGCAGAACAATTAATCAGTGGAACAGCCTGCCTCCAGAAGTTGTGGGTGCCTCATCACTGGAGGTTTTCAAGAAGAGATTGGATAGCCCAGGGGTAGGCAACCTTGGCTCTTTTATGACTCATGGACTTCAACTCCCAGAATTCCTGAGCCAGCCATGCTGAGGGGAAAGGGAGAGATTTCTAAGCTGAGCCGTGCTGGCTCAGGAATTCTGGGAGTTGAAGTCCACGAGTCATAAAAGAGCCAAGGTTGCCTACCCCTGGGATAGCCAGTTGTCCAGAATGGTATAGGGTTTCCTGCCTGAGCAGAGGGGTTGGACTATAAGACCTCCAAGGTCCCTTCCACCTCTGTTGTTCTGTCTCAAACTAACAAGGAAAAGAAGTCCATTGCCGTGACTCAAACTTCAGTCATCTTAGAAATATTTCTAAGAAATAAATAACCTAGCTGGTCTAGATTTATAATTTGGTGACGGGGGAACGGGAAAAAAATTATCTCATCAGAAAGCATTCGTTTTGAACATCTCCATACAAAAGGGGAGTTAACGTCATAGCCTAACATCTGGGTAAATGTTTGAAAAGCCATTCTCTTGTCTAAAAAGGGCACCAATCGTTGCTTCCTTCTTTCGTTAGTGTAAACCGAGATCTGAGAAGAGGGAGAGAAGTTAAAGTTTGATGAGTGTGAACTTCCATCAGGTACAAAAGCTATAGCAGTTTACGTCAGAGGTCCCCAACCTTTTGGACACCAGGGACCGGTTCCGTGGAGAGAGGTTTTTCCGTGGACCGGAGAGTGCGTGGTTTTGTGTGCTGCCTGTGTCCCATTGATGGGGCTTTGCTTGTTTGTGTGGACAGGTTGCTGACATGCCATGGCCCGGTACCGGTCCACAGACCGGGAGTTGGGGACCCCTGATTTAGAGGTCCTGCCCTTACATGGTTTTGCTTTGAATTTAGTTGTCGTTACACACTTTGATATTCCTCTTTTACAAATTCATATAGCCTCTCTGTTGTAAAGACATATGATGGGCTGTGCCCCCAACCAGTGGTGGGATTCAAATATGTGAACAACCGGTTCTCTGTGTGGATGCCGCTTCCGGACGTCCATCCTGGGCCTGGGCAACAAAAAATTAGCTACTGGTTCTGCCGAACTGGTGTGAACTGGCAGCATTCCACCACTGGATGAACCCTATTAGGCCAGGACACGTGATAGCTACAACTTCCACAGGGTAGATCTAAAGTTGGGTCACGCAGATTTGGTATGCCTACCCTTAGAAAAGACGCCAGCTGTCATCGAAGAAGTTTAGAAGGAAGGAGAGCCAGACCTCAAAAAAAAACAGACAGAGGTGCAGAAAGAGCAGAAGGGCCTTGCTACAGCCGAACCTCCAAGGATGGGAGGAAAAGCCGGTTGTGCAAATGCTTGCCAAACCCTTGCCTGTTTCATTATTCGAAATTGCCGAGGCGATTGACATGTCGTTGTCTTGCTTTCCCGCGAAGCTGATGTTCCGTAAGATGCAAGGCTTGAGCGAATTCCCGGAGAAGTCGCCTGCCATCGGAGACGTCCTATCCCACCTCACGGCCTCCGTGGATCTGGACTTCGGGTCTCACCGCCCAATTCACGCCATCTTGTTGCCGAATCCTTCCCACCTCGAAGCCATCAACCCCGTGGCGGTTGGCAAAACCAGAGGGAGACAGCAAACGTTGCTGGATGGGGATTACTCCTTAGCCAGCTCGGCCCAGCCAGGAGATAAAGTCATTTGCCTGCAGGTATCTTGAAACTCTCAAGGCAGAAAACTGGGGAGCGTGAGATGGATAGATGGGAGATAATCATCAGAAATGTAAAATTTACTCAAGCACAGAATCTAAGAGAAAACTTTTACAAAATGTTTTATAGATGGCATTGAGATCCTCAAAAATTGTCTCGTATGTATTCTAATTTACAACCTAAGTGTTGGAGATGTGGAAATTTAGATGCAACTTATTTNTGGAGAAGATGGATAGATTATATTGAGAACAAATATGGAACTAAAAAGTTTCATTTGGTTTTTGAGTAAATTTGTGATTGCTAATGTAGTATATTTTATTAAAATTAAAAATTTTGTAATAATGATTTGATATGTTAGTTTAGGAGAGAGCTAAAGGATGTTATAGAATTGTTAACTTAAGGGTAATATAATTTAAGACGGAGTATAATTATTGTATTGTAAACCCTGTGTGTAGCTCTGGGAAGTCGTGGGGGAAGGGAGGGGGGTGGGAAAGGGTGGGGCTTGAGGGAGGTGGGGAGATATATTGTAAAATTTTTAAAAATTTTCAATAAAAAAAAAAAAAAAGATGGGAGATAATCATCTAAAGCTTCTGAGCCAACTGTGCCTTAAGGGCGTAAGAGACTGGAGACCTTAGGAAATGCCTGGTCTTGTCTTCCCTCAGATGGGAGACAAAGCAAGGGCTTCTCAGATGAATTAAACAAATTACGTTGCTTTGCTGATGGTTAAAATGATAATGGAGGCAATTTGAGCTCTGTGCTTCGCCAGCCGTTTTAAATTGTGGGAACTAGTTTGAAAGCAATCTTTTGGAAGATGCTCAACTGATAGGCTTTATCTGTGATCTTCCCTACTTTAAAGAAAGGTGAGAAAGTCTGCAGGCCTCCTCCAAACCTAAACTATAAATTTGTTTAATAAAGAAAAAGAAAAGAAACTGGAGGTCCCAGGAACTCCCAGTCCTTCCAGTTATTCTTCGGCAGCTGCAATTGGGAGCAGGCTGCCCCCAATGTGGATCAATCCTGATCATTCAGAACTGAGCAAACAGGTTACAGGTAGTCCTTGAACTCATGACCACAACAGAGCCCAAACTTTATGTCGCTCAATGAGACCGTTAAGTGAATTTCATCCCATTTTACGACCTTTCTTGCCACAATTGTGAAGTGAATCACTGCAGTTGTTAAGTTAGTAACATGGCTGTTAAACGAATCTGGCTCCCCCCATTGACTTTGCCTGTCAGAAGGTCACAAAAGGGGATCATATGATCCGGGACTCTGCAACAGACATAAGTACGAGTCAGTTGCCAAGCATCTCAATTTTGATCACATGAACCACGGGGACGCTGCAACACTCGTAAGTGTGGGAAACGGTCATAAGTCACTTTTTTCCGGTGCTTTTGTAACTCTGAACGGTCACTAAATGAACAGTCGTAAGTTGAGGACTACCTGTGTCCAGTTGGCCCATTATATAGAGATGTTTTCCTTTTAAATTTGAGCTCCTTAGGTTAAAATACAGCAGTACCACATTTTTCTTTCCCCACACAAATCCTTGGAAGAAGGCTGGGTCCAGTCAATTTTATGACTGAGGGCATTTTTTTTCTTTGCAATGCAGGTTCACGGAGATGCTTCGTTCTCTGGCCAAGGGATTGTTCCAGAAACTTTTACCCTTTCCAATCTGCCCCATTTTAGAATAGGGGGAAGCATTCACCTCATCGTTAATAACCAACTGGGCTACACCACCCCAGCCGATCGAGGGAGGTCCTCTTTGTATTGCAGTGATATCGGTACGTATGTCTGCCCCACATAGAATCATTTGCAATTGTTACGGTTGATTTTGTAAATTACCTTGTTTTCTTTCATCCTTCTGTATTGGAAAGACGAAACTCCAAAAACAAAAAAAATGGACCATACATTCCTAGAGAATTCTGTTTCATGTAGTCCTCTTTGGTGACATTGTGCTGGACCAGTGTAGCCATCTGGCCAGATTGCATAGCTAGCTTAGGAAATTGTGTTCAGAACAAGTAGCATTTAAAGGGTTAAATGCTGTCTCCTTAAGACAGGGCTTTTCAACCTTGTCACCCATTGTACCACTTTTAGGATATGGCAACATCCGAGTACCACCAGTCGCCTAGCAAGGTGTCAAAAACTTGATGACAAAAAAAAAGGAAAAAAGTGATAAAGTACAGGTAGTCCTCGACTTACAGCAGTTTGCTTAGTGACTGTTCGAAGTTACAATGGCACTGAAAAAAGTGCCCCCCAAGCCACAGCCAAGCAAGACACCTGCCTGCCTGCCCGGCGGCGCTCTTCCTCCTGTCCGAGGTTTCCATTGTTGTGAGCATTTCTGTTGAGGATTGGCATTGGGGGTTGGGTGGGGGTTGTTTGGTTACACACACACACACCCCGTCTGCTGGGTGGTTGCAGCAGGTTTTGGTCACTTCACATGATCCTGGGACACTGTGACCGTCATAAATATGAATCAGTTGCCAAGCATCTGAATGTAAATCACAAGACCCTGGAGATGCTGCAACATTCCAGCTGATCGGTGCTTCTTCTGGGCTCAGCAGAAGTGCCAGGATCAGTCCTGCTTTCCAGCTGATTGGTGCTTCTTCAGGGCTCAGCAGAAGCACCAGGATCAGCGCCGAGCTCCAGCTGGAGCCTGACGCTGATCCTGGCGCTTCCGCTGAGCCCTGACAGCCCTGCAGCTCCAGCCATCTCTCGCTCAGGCTTGTGTGGTGCTGCCACCTGTTCAGCTTATTCCCCTCCCCCACTACCACTTTTCTAGGATGGTCGCGTACCACCTGACAGGTGCCAATGTACCACAGGTGGTACCCGTACCACTGGTTGAAAAGCCCTGTCCTAGAGAATTCTGTTTCATGTAGTCTTCTTTGGTGACATTGTGCTGGACCAGTGTAGCCATCTGGCCAGATTGCATAGCTAGCTTAGGAAATTGTGTTCAGAGCAAGTAGCATTTAAGGGGTTAAATGCTGTCTCCTTAAGAGACGGCTTCTGGGAAATGTAGTTTTACTTGTTGCATGGTTATATCTGTGTTCTAATTGGTCAGTTCTATGTCTTCACTAGCCATGGGGAGGGACTTCAATTTTTTATGACAGGATTTCTTGGCTACATGCCAGTATGAAAAGTTTTGTGTAGTACAGCCACCAGGTCCTTTGCTCCGTACGAACATGGGGTGAATTTACCTTTAATTTTTTTACACCACAAGATCAGACAGATTATGAAACGTGCCTCAGAAGAACTCTTCATTAACTGTGAGTTATTGTTTAGAAGATTCCTGAAGAATAAATAATCTGAATATTAATCCGTCTTTGGAGTTAATCTGTCTGTGTCAAGCAGGAATAAAGCAAATCTTCTGTTTGGAACAGAACAGACATCTTCACCCTTTTCTCTGTGTCTCCCGTTTTAGGTAAGATAGTCGGCTGTGCCGTTATCCACGTGAATGGAGACGACCCGGAGGAAGTTCTCCGAGCTGCACGACTGGCGGTGGAGTACCAACGACTTTTCCGGAAGGATGTGATCGTGGACCTGCTCTGCTATCGGCAGTGGGGTCACAATGAACTCGACGAGCCCTTTTTCACCAACCCCACCATGTATAAAATAATCAGGTAGTGCTTAGTTCCAGCCGGAAGAGCTGTTGACAATAGAACCAGTTCCCAAAGGGGTGGTAGGTTCATCCTTACTGCATGTGTTTGAGAAGAAGAGAGAGACCCATCTGTGGGGGATGCTTGGATTTCAATTCCTGCATGTAGGTGGAAGTAAGATTTCAATCAGTCAGAATAGAAGGGACCTTGGAGGTCTTCTAGTCCAACCCCCTGCTCAGGCAGGAAACCCTATACCAGGGGTAGGCAACCTTGGCTCTTTTATGACTCGTGGACTTCAACTCCCAGAATCCCTGAGCCAGCATGGCTCAGCTTGGAAACCTCTCCCTTTCCCCTCAGCGTGGCTGGCTCAGGAATTCTGGGAGTTGAAGTCCACCAGCCATAAAACGGGCAAGTTTGAAGACCCCTGCTCTTAATCTTCATCCTAGTCCAGGGGTAGGCAACCTTGGCTCTTTTATGACTCATGGACTTCAACTCCCAGAATTCCTGAGTCAGCATGGCTCAGCTTGGAAACCTCTCCCTTTCCCCTCAGCATGGCTGGCTCAGGAATTCTGGGAGTTGAAGTCCACGAGTCATAAAAGAGACAAGGTTACCTATCCCTGTCCTGGGGTCATGTGATCAACTTTTGTGAGCTTCTGACAAGCCAAGTCAGCGGGGAAGCATGAGTAACTTAACAACTGCAGTGATTCCTTTAACCGCGGTGGCAAGGAAGGTCGTAAAATGGGGTAAAACTCAACTCTCGCTTAGCAACACAAATTTTGGGCTCAGTTGTGATCATAAGTCGAGAACTTCCTCTAGAAACAAGAACAAGTGAAAATAGGGAGGTTTGCCATAATTGAGTGTTTCTCATTTTAAGATGTGTGGACTTCGATTCCCCGAATTCCCCAGCCAGCCTCCCCAGAAGTCCACATATCTTAAAATGGCTGAGGTTGAGAAACGGTGGCTAGGAATTCTGGGAGTTGAAGTCCACACATCTTAAAATGGCTGAGGTTGAGAAACGCTGGCTAGGATTTCTGAGTTGCGGCCCACACGTTTTAAAATGGCTGAGGTTGAGAAACACTGGCTGGGAATTCTGGGAGTTGAAGTCCACACATCTGAAAATGGCTGAGGTTGAGAAACGCTAGCTAGGAATTCTGGGAGTTGCGGTCCACACATCTTAAAATGGCTGAGGTTGAGAAACGCTGGCTAGGAATTCTGGGAGTTGAAGTCCACACATCTGAAAATGGCTGAGGTTGAGAAATAAAAGCTCATTTCATGCATTTTTGTCTCTCATTTTGCTGGATAAGATCCAGGAAAAGCATCCCAGATACCTATGCAGAGGGCCTGGTGGCAGAGGGACTTACCACCGAGGAGGAGATATCCGAGATCAAAACTTCCTATTACTCAAAGCTCAACGAACATCTCTCCACCATGGCTATGTATGCGCCTGCGTGCCCTAATCTACAGGCCCACTGGACCGGCCTAGTGGAGCCCACGCCGAGGGTCACAACGTGGGACACAGGTGTTCCTGGACCACTCCTCCAGTTTGTTGGGCTCAAGTCAGTGGAGGTGCCTGAAGAATTGCAACTACACAACCACATCCTGAAGACGCATGCTCAGGTTTGAGATCCTCAAATCCAGCTCTAGACACGCAGGAGATTGTAGCTGTAGTCCTCAATTTATGACACAATTGAGCCCCACATTTCCGTTGTTAAGTTGGACATTTGTTAAGTGACTTTTGCCCCCTTTTAAGTGAATCACTGCAGTTGATAAGTTAGTAACCTGGTTGTTAAGTGAATGTGGCTTCCCCATTGATTTTGCTTATCAGAAGGTCGTAAAAAGAGGATCACATGACCCCGGGTCACTGCAACCGTCATAAATAAGAGCCAGTTGCCAAGCAACTGAATTTTGGTCACGTGACCGCCAGGATGCTGCAACGGTCATAAGTGGGAAAACCGGTCATAAGTCCATTTTTTCCAATGCCATTGCAACTTTGAACGGTCACTAAATGAGCCGTCGTAAGTCTAGGACTACCTGCACAGGGGCCGTCCTTGGGGAGGGTACAAAAAAGTCAAGATGACATTTGAAACTATTTTCCAGACTTTTTTTGATACAGGTAGTCCTCAACTTAACGGACATAATTGGAGCCTAAATTTCTTTTGCTAAACAAGACGGTGGCTAAATGAGCCACGCCTCATTTTTATGCTTATTTTCTGTTATGGTTGTTAAATGAATCACAAGGTCGTCAAGCGAATCCAGCTTCCACCTTTGACCTGGCTTGTCAGAAGCCGGCTGGGAAGGTGACAAATGCCGATCAAGAGACCCCGGGATGCTGCAAACGTCATAAATACATGTCTGCAGCCAAACGCCTGAATTTGGCTCACATGACCAGGGGGACACTGCGATGGTCGTAAGTGTGAGGACTAGTAGTAAATCACTTTTTTCCAGTGCCATTGTAAGTTCGAATAGTCGTTGCACAAATGGTTATAAGTTGAGGATTACCTGTAAAGCTAGATCCAGGTATGAACAACAGTTCATTTAGTGACTGTTCGAAGTTACAGCGGCACTGGAAAAAAGAGACTTATGACGGTTTTTTCACACCAGATGATAGATTTGGGTAAATGATGATTGATTTGCTTGGGAGATAGAAAGATAATCAAATGGTAATAGGGGCCGTGAATCCAGTGGTGGGATTCAGCCGGTTTGCACCACTTCGGCAGAACCGGTAGCTAATATTTTGTTGCCCAGGCCCAGAACGGACTTCCGGAAGCGGCATCCACACAGAGAACTGGTTGTTCACCTATTTGAATCCCACCACTGCATGAATCACGATGTAAGACGGATGTCGTCATTAATCTGCTTCAAGTATTGGCTTCTAAGGCAGTGGTTCTCAACCTGTGGGTCGGGACCCCATTTGGGGTCGATTGACCATTTCACGGGGGTCGCCAAGCAAGGCTGTCCGCCATTTTTTTTGTCCGCCATATTTTTCCCCTTTTCCGGCGGGTGCCTTACCTCCCTTGGGCTGGGCCAGCTGGTGGTCGGCCTGCTCCGTCTCTGCCGCTTGCCAACTACGCCTCGGCCGGCGCAGGGGGCGGAACCACGCATGCGCAGCACTCCCGGGCAGGGAAAGTCCTCGACTTACGACCGGTTGGGTAGTCCTCGGCTTACGACCGGTTTAGTCCTCGACTTACGACCGGTTTAGTCCTCGACTTACGACCGGTTTAGTCCTCAACTTACGACCGGTTGGGGTCGCGGCATTAAAAAGGTTGAGAACCACTGTTCTAAGGCAAAAACATGATTTGTAAAACTTGCTGTTCAATCCACGTTTGGAAACGTTCACGTTTGGTTTTAGGGGTTGCCGGTGTGTGCACTAAAGGACAGTGGTGGGATTCAGCCAGTTCGCACCACTTTGGCAGAACCGGTAACTAATTTTTTTATTGCCCAGGCCCAGAATGGACTTCCGGAAGCGGCATCCACACAGAGAACCGGTTGTTCACCTATTTGAACCCCAACACTGCTAAAGGACATTTTGGCCTTTGAGTTTGGAGTGTTGCACAGCCCTAAATTTTATGGCTTTCATGCAGACGTTACGTTAGGCATTATGCTTATCCTAAAAATATCATTAAAAAATAAGTTGCTTGTCTAAACTATGAAAAGAAGGGGCAAACAGTCGCCGTGAATAAAGAATCTCCAAAGATATTCAGTCACCCTGAATAATGTCTGTTTCAATTGTCCTTGTATTAAAAGCGAACTAGCTTTAAAAAAAAAAGCAGGTTTTTCAAGGGCAATTTCAAAAATAGAGATTTTTATTACAACTGACCAGTTTTGAAAGCAATTAGAACTACATTCAAGCACAGAGGTCCCATTCAAGTCAACACAGCTTACTTCATTGTGCAAATGGCAGAGATTATGTACTGGGATTATAGTGTGTATGTAATACACAATGAAGTTGTGGGTGCGATGTCACTTGTTCCCCACTTTGCAGTCATATGCTATTGTTTAGTTTTTCCACAAAAACTAAGCAGAAAAAATTTAAACCTTTCAGAAGTTGACGTAACAAAATTATGATTTTTGTTTATTTCTGTTCTGTTACTATTCTGTTCTGTTCCTGTTCTGTTCCTGTTCTGTTCTTGTTCCTTTTCTATTCTGTTCCTGTTCCATTCCTGTTCTTTCTGTTCCTGTTTCTGTTCCTTCCTTCCTGTTCTGTTCTGTTCCATTTCTGTTCTGTTCCCATTCTGTTCTTGTTCCTGTTCTGTTCCTGTTCTTGTTCCTGTTCTGTTCCTGTTCTGTTCTGTATTGGGTGTGCAGTCCAGAGTGCTGAAGATGCAAGAAGGAGTAAAATTGGACTGGGCCACTGCTGAAGCCTTAGCTTTTGGCTCTCTGCTGTGTCAAGGTAAGTCTTTAAACATACAACTCTGTGTCTGCTATTAAGCCAGGAAAATAAATATAAATTGAAAAATGTATATGAAAAAGACTAACTCGGCTTGGCAATTGCATTGTTAAATTAATTAGAAGTGGCAGGCGAGAACTTTATACAACTTGTGGAGAGCTTAAACATCTCTCCAGCCCTTTAGAAAGTACTAATCTCACTCTGGTGTCCTGCCAAACATTTATTTTAGCAAGAAGGAGAAGCACAACAGATCCTGAGATGAATAAAAAAAGACAGCCTTAATTTAAGGAAGTCCTGAGGAAGAAGCGAGGTCTTCCTCCTCCTGATTATTTCAAAATGTCAGCAATTCACACAACAGATTTGCTTTCTACCAAGGTTTTAACATTCGTCTGAGCGGGCAAGACGTCGGCCGAGGGACCTTCAGCCAGAGGCATGCCATGTTGGTTTGTCAAGAGACGGGAGAAACCTACATCCCTTTGAACCACATGTCTGCAGATCAGAAGGGCTTCTTCGAGGTGAGGTTGAACCGAGGTGACTTCACAACGCTGTGCCCTCACCTGGACTTCCCAAAGGAACATTTTAGGGAACAAAACTCCCTGACTCAGAAGGATTTATTTCCAAGTCATCACACCTTAGCTTGCTCCGTGAGAGATTGGGAGAATAGTGTATTGTAATTTGCTTTTCACACTCCTCACACAACTGGCATTCCGCAAAGTTTCAGATGATACACAAACACACACATACACACACACACACACACACGCCGCTGCTGCGCGAGCTGCACTGGCTACCAGTGGCCTTCCGGGTACGCTTTAAGGTGTTAGTTACCACCTTTAAAGCGCTCCATGGCATAGGACCTGGATATCTACGAGACCGCCTTCTGCCACAGATTCCCTCCCACAGACCGGTACGCTCCCACAGAGCGGGCCTCCTCAGGGTGCCGTCGGCCAGGCAGTGTC